AGCTGTGGCTGCCCCAGCCCTGGCAGTGTTCAAGGCCAGGTTGGACACAGGGGCTTGGAGCAACCTGCTCTAGTGGAAGGTGTCCCTGCCCGGGGCAGGGGCTGGAACTGGGTGATCTTAAGGTCCTTTCCAACCCAAACCAGACTGTGATTCATACTCTCATCACAAGGAACCTCGCCAGGGGCAACACTTACGGAGACAGATGTTGTCGGTGAAGAGATGCAGGAAGCTCTCACACTCTTCCTGCCGGTTGCCGCTGGCGTTGCACGTGCACCAGGGAGCTATGCTGGAAGTGGAATTGTCAATGTAGTTGGGTGTGATGGGGCTGCCTGCCGGAAGGATGCAGAAATGTTACTGCAAGGTGGTACCTCAAGAAGGGACAATGATTTCCCTTCTTGCTGCTTTGTTGGGTCCCAGGGAGGAGAAGAGGGGCAGTCACAACCCTTCTGTTCACCCCACCACCAGCAGAGCCTTCAGTCCACTAAAAAATGCTACCAGCCCAAGGAATGGGCAGCTCCTGGGAACTCAGGTTCCCTAATAACATTCAAAACCCATATGTGAATGTGTGTAAAGGTTTTTGTGCTCTGTCAATAGAAAAGCCAAAATCAATCTCCAGAATGGTCATAGAAAACAAAAGAAGGATTAAAACAGAATGAAATCTTGACCCAAAAAGCTGACAATCTGCCGATGGACCAAGTCCAATGGTCATTGGCACTTCTTTTGGGACTCTGTATGTGCTAACTGCTACCAGCTGGGCCTCTTCAGTATCAAAAAACCCAATATGACAGCCTCTGAAGACAGCAAGATGGCAGTGGATGGTGATTTCCAGTGGCATCACTAATGATGGCATCAGGGAACCCCTCACAGAACAGACACCCTGGGATGGCCCATCTGTTTCCACCTGAGAGAAGCTGGGATCTTGCGGAATGGTTTTTCTCCCTGTGCTGCTGCTATCCTAAAGTTACCCCATTTTCTTGGGTTTAAGCTGAAAAGGGAGATTTAGATAAGACATTAGAAAGAAGCTCTTCCCTGGGAGGGTGCTGAGGCGCTGGCACAGGGTGCCCAGAGAAGCTGTGGCTGCCCCATCCCTGGCAGTGTTCAAGGCCAGGTTGGACACAGGGGCTTGGAGCAACCTGCTCTAGTGGAAGGTGTCCCTGCCCGGGGCAGGGGTTGGAGCTGGAGGGGCTTTAAGCTCCCTTCCAACACAAACCAATCTGGGATTCAATGATGTTTCCCACCCAGAGAGGGAGGAGGAGACCTGCTGTAGGACACAGCTCCTACCTATGATCCCTGTATAGGCCAGCAGACAGGCAG